CATTACCGCATCACTTGGTAGGGAAATACACATTTTCATCCAGATGGATGATTAAAAGTCATGAGACAATCAGTCCATTAGTTGCAATCTCCGAGATAGAAACTAGACTGCTAACCAATGGACGTCGGCTCAGCATGTTATAGAAAATGCCTATAAAGCAAGAAGAACGAATTCAGTCATGTAAGTGCATTGAACTATTTAAGAGAAAAAAAACTAAAATGAGTCCACAGACTTCCTTAATGTGATGCATAAACTAAAATGGTGTACGAAATACATCTAAAATCATTTGCGACATGTATATAATTACCGTTATATCGGCAAATATTTGTGAAGCCCGATGGAACAAGTATATAGTAGGTGGTAATTTAAAGAAAAACCTTTGACTAAGCTGTAAAAATACATAGATATCCAATAACATATTAAACTCTGTTGACACCACAATTTTTCGATTTCCATCCACATTTATTTAAATCATCTCTTGATTCGTGAAAGAAATCCTGGACTGTAAAATTAATCGCCAATTCTATTTAACTTTCTTGAAAAATTGCACTTCCGAGCAGCGGACAAAGAAATTTTATAGAACATGCTGACTTTCATCTTGACTTACTGCGATCTGTTCTGTAGAATTGGTAGGTACTTACAACTATTTTGCTTATAGTTCCATTTAAGATAAAAGTAATAGATAGTTCAGGCCTAAACTTGTGGACGAAACAAGCCTTGAGGACGTCCGGACATCACTAGACACATTCGTCACCTCGAATTTCGCAGAAACTGTCAGGAAATACAACATGTCGGAAATTTTGTCCAACTGGAGCCGCTGTTGGAGTATTGTCTATATATATATATATATATATATGATCCGACATCAGCCTTTTAAATCTTAACTGTAAATCGACGCAGTAAACTTTGGAGTTAAATAGTCTCAAATCAGTTTGCAGCATAGGAACTACGGCTACTAATGAGCAGGTGCAAATATCTTCCTCAACCATTCCGTATCATCTGTCCAGTTTTGTCGTTAATTTGGATATGAAAGAAATGGATCAAATAATTTAAAATATCATGTTTATAGCCTTCCAAAAGTAAACCGATAGTTAGTCATACTACTAAAACTTAGGATTTACGTGTTTTTGTTAGACACGAGAGACTAGCACAAGATAAGCCTAAAATCGCTGGAGCTGAATTGGACTACCTGCTATGGCTGAGTATTATTCGTCCCCCTGATAGTCAGTGGGCATCACGTTTGCACATGGTCCAAAAGAAAATGAAGACCATTGGCGACTGTGAAGGGATTACAGGTCCCTCAATCATATAACTGTACCAGACAGGTAACCAATACCGCATATCCAAGATTTTAAAAACACTATACAGGGTATGAAAATATTTACTAAAATTGACTTGGTTAGGGCATCTCACAATATCCCAGTAGCTGAAAAAGATATCTCTAAGACAGCTATTACTTCACCTTTTAGATTGTTCGAGTTTGTACGCGTGCCATTCGGCCTGAGCGACGCAGCATAAACCCTTCAAAGATTGAGGCTACTAAACAGCTTAAAGATAAACCGCTTCAAGCACTTACGTTGATGTATCCGAATGCCCTTTCCCCACTTGCTTTGATGGTGAATTCTTCGGACAGAGCATCAGGCTGTACCCTTGGACAGATGATTAAAAACGCCTGAATGCCAATTATTTTCTTCTCAAAAAAGTCGCTCCAGAAGGAACAAGATATTCTACATTCGGAAGAGAACTTCTTGCAATCTACCGAACCGCCAAGCACTTTCAACACATGTTGGAAGGCAGGGACTTCATAGGGTTTACGGATTACAAACCACTGACCAATGCACCAGAAGTGAGAGCATTTAAATAATCACCTCAAGAAGTCCGACACCTAAACGATATATCACAGTTCACAAGTGATATCCGACATATCAAAGGCCAGGAAAACCAGGAGGCAGATGCATTTTCTCGACTAGAAATGAATGTGATGCAGCAGTCCACAGTAAAAAATCGAGACATTGAGAGACAGACAAAAAGGGGTCCAGGTAATACGAAATCTTATTAGAAAGAACAACCCTAGTCTCAAACTAAAGCAGTTACCATCGCTAACTGGCTGTATTCTGATTTACTGTGACTCGACCGACGTAATACCACGACTTTTCGTCCCCAAAAATATGCGAAAACTAATGTTTGATATATTTCATCCTTTATCTCATCCTGGTGCAAATGCTTCGACTACGCTAATCAATGCCAGATATATATGACCAAATTTACAAAATAACGTTCACAAATGGGTTATAGAATGTTCAGCGTTTCAACAGTCCAAAGTTAACCGTCACGCAAACTTACTACTCAGCGTTTTCTCACAATCATATCGATTTAGTAGGAAATTTAACGCATCCAAATAGTTTTAATTATATTTTTATATGTATAGATCGACCATTTTACAACCTCAAGTGGTGTCGATCAGTCACATATTCAAAATTTACCAGTTTCTAGAATATAGACATTCTTATCGGCGCCAGACAATGATAGTTCTTCTTGATTTAAAAGCAGCATTTGACTCTGTGGCAGTGTCTGTCATTCAACAGTCTAACACAGAAGTACATAAACCTTGTGAAGGCACTCTACTCGAACACTACTAGTCTAGTGAGAGCTTATGGCGAACGGTCATCTGATTTCGCAACATCATGTGGTGTTCGGTAAGGTTGTCCACTATCCCCATTTCTGTTCAATTTCATCATAGACTTAATGCTGAAAACAACGCTCTCGTCCTATGAATTTTCAGGAATCGATGTCTCTTCAGGAGGTCCACATATCAACTCGTTTATCTTTTGCCAACTGACGTCATCTATGGCGAAGGCGAGATATCCGTCTATCAATTAAGGGACGAGTATACTGTGTGGCAGTTCGTTCTGTCCTACTTTATGGCTGCGAAACGTGGTCATTAAGAGTAGAAGATACTCGTAAGCTACTAATATTTGACCACAGATGTCTTAGAGATATTGCTCGAACCTACTGGGGTCATCGGGTAGGTAATAGTGCGGTTAGACGCAGCGTATTAGGGAACGATGCTAAATCAGTCGATGTGGTTGTGAATGTTCATCGACTGAGATGGTTGGGCCACGTGTTACGTATGCCTGAATACCGATTACCACGACGCACAATGCTGATTATTGTGGACGGCTGGAAGAATATTAGAGGCTGTCAAACCAAAACGTGGCATCAGTCTTTGAAGTCACCAACTTCTTATCTGAGCCATGGTGGTAGATACGAACTACTTGGTTTGGGTCCACGCGACTATCGTAACTAATGATTGAAGACTCTGGGTGACATGGCTCAGAATCGATCATAGTGGTGTCGGTGTATACACTTTTTGTCTGCACTTAAACCGTGAGATTGGAATTACTTTATTTCTTTCTTCCTACGAACTAATTTTTTCTTCCTGTATCATATACTTATACTCAATTTTTCTTTTATAAATTGTCGCCATTCAATTAACTACTTCTATGAATCCGGCATTCATCTTGATGTGGTAATGAAGTATGGGAACTTGAACCGATGCATATATGTGCCTAATCCTACGTTGTAGTTGACTGACTTATGACCATTTGAAGAATAATTTTAACACAAGCGTTATGATAAATGGCAACGAGAGTATAATTTACCAAACATACAATTCGGACCCTAAATTTTCTGGTACGGCTGAGAGTGTGGCAAGCCCACTCTCATCGAAAAGCTCTCATATAACTGTTTTTATTGCTACAGTCAGGAAAGTCTTACTGATTTCTTTCTCACATCTGGAGCGCTGTTTACGAAAAGTCAATGTCAGGCGCTCTAATCGGGTTGGTGAGTACGGTGGAGTTGGAAAATTCTGAGTTCAAATCAATGGTGCACATGAGATACCGGACCCTGGGGGAAAAATGAGATATGAACTCATTTTTAGTAACCGGTAACAAGTGTACTGCATTTTTAAAAGTCGCTCCATTGCCTTGTGGGTTAGTGCTATGGATCAAGCACTCGAGAAAATGCTCCCTTATGAAGTCACCCGTTTTTATTCGGGCACCCGAGGAGTATCCTAGCCTACACACAAATTCAGCTATTTGTGTGGTGAATATAAATATTATGGAACCCCATTGCATTAATGTTTAGATAAATAACGAGACTTAGTTTACATAAGACAATAGAGATTTATTTATATAGATCACATTCAATCCATGTACCAGACAATAAAAGCCAGTAATTATCCACTCTGGGTGTTAAGTGAGACTTTGTTACGAGAGTTTAGGACTTTTATAACATCTCAACATTCTTCACAACAACAAAATAACCATGACATCACAAACAAATTACTTTTGACGATAAGAAAATAAAGGAAACTAGCATTGGATAGTGTGCCTCCACTACGGTACTTCGTAATGATGTTAACTTTGAAAAACATCAACGTCAAGGCAATCACAGTGGATCTATGGATTGTGGTTGACCTAGTTCAATTATTCAGGGGATACTAAAATGATAAAAATACATGAATCATCAAATATATGTGGCGTTTGACCGACGTGTTTGACCAACAGCCCTGCAAAACTACCAGAAACACTTGAAAGTTTTTTCTAGCAATTTCCGCACCGATAAAATGATAGTTATCTGAATCTAGTTGCCTAAGCAGAGGAACTAGTGACAAACGTGTAAAACGTACTAGACTTTTAACAATCAGATCTTAGATTATAACCCGGACTTAACCTACTTTCGTCAAGGAAGCCTGGTAATAAATCTACCCACCACGGTGTGGACTGAGGCACAGTACATACACCTGAACTTAATAGTGAGCCGAAATCCTAGATACTTTGATGAAACTCGAGACTAATTACTTTGCTTCCGTCACTACGAAAACCAAACGCTTAATTTACTTCGGAAAATATTCAAGCACAAAAATTGATGCACTCGAAAACAGCAAAGTGAATCATTCAAGATTAAAATGAGAGTCTGGATACTTCAAGTAAACTAACTTGTATATATAGTTCTAGATATGTTAGTGACGCAAATGTAATCGGACTGGTAACTAACATATTCTTAGCACCATCAAGAGGTCTGCAAACTACAATCTAACTAAAAAATTACTATGGTTAGCGATTGAGACACATAATTAGTAAGTCTGTAATCGGTAGCTGAAAAGAAAGTCACTAATCTTTAAATTAGAAACCTAGAATACACGCATTAGAGACTACGGGTAGCACAAGGTACAAATAGGATGAACGTGAGGCTATTAAGCTGACTATTCACATTGTATCACTTTCACTCTTGTCTTGTTAAAGAGGACGTCGAAATCACCTCAGATATGAGGTATCTAAAGACGATTGTATCAAAAACATGAACACTTGCATTTCGGTCATCTTGTAAGGGTATTATCAAGGTGATAGAATAGACTTTAAAAACCATTCAGGATCTTGTACAGACATGATGTAATTAAAAGGGTTCATTTATCCACGTACATGACACCTATATCCCAAATCTACAAACTTCAGTAAAATTTTTGAGGTCCCAGGAAACATATATAGAAAAGAATAAGTAACAATAAGAAGCCGATTGGCAAACATGATAACTCGATGATTTTGAACGATTTGATTTAAATACTTGCAGTCGTAATATGTTTCCATGTTCGTTAGCAGCAGATCATTGATACTGCGAGTAAATACAGAGGTTCGTGAAACAAGAAATGTATTTGTAGCTTAGCTTGACATATTGTCTTATATTTGTGGGAAGGACTCCAATGCAGTTAGTTGGGTTAATACAGCCAACTGCTAGTTGCGGTAATTACCTCAATCAGTAAAAAAACTTCAGTAAAACTATTCTGGGAAAGTAGACCGCGTGACTAAAAACTAGTTTTATGAGTCCAATTACCCAGCAGAAGCAATATTGCTATTGCAATACCTAAGGTGGATTACGACGGCTTGAAGAACAAACCACAACTGTTTAGCTACTATTATGGTCATGATAAAAGCTGCAGTCGTTATTGAAACTTGTATTTGTCTTCATAAAGACAAACGTAGACCCTAACTTGAATTACTATGGCAGACACACTAAATAGTAACCTGCAACTCTTCACATGACGGAGCAATACCAATCGTAGCAACCTAACCATATGTCCCGCACGTTCTTAACAGGGAAATTTTTCATTGCAGAAAGTGTCAGCATTACTTGTCGGGATTTGTATTTAAAATACAAGAGGCAGTTTTGATTTACATTACGAATGTAGTCTATTTCTTTTCTGAAACTACAATCAGAAATATGCTAACTACTTGTCCCGGGTAAAAACGTCACCAACTACGGCTCTCACCACTAGAACTTTTTCACGAAAAAGTCAAATTTTCAGTACTCTTAAATAAAATTAAGTAGCTCTTCTATTTCAACACAAGGTTGCATGAGAAGTGTGATGTATTGTATCTGTATCTATACGTCTAGAAATTAAATTCACAAGCACAGAATGTAACGTTTTTTTATTTCAGCGACTTAAGCTGCTAGCCTTAGAGTGAGCGCTTCATATTTGAGTGACCTCATGTCGATAGAAGATTGTGGGCTGGTTTAATTTAATTGTATGTGTGTCTTTACAGAGTTATATATACAATTCGTATCTGCCCCACCCCGTCCTAATATCTGCCGAGCCAATATTCCGGCAATCAGAAACTGCGCTATCTCGACTGATTGGTCGATCGACGTGGATGGATTGATCGAAGATGAATGGAACAATTTTAAGGCTACATTCGAGTCCCTTACGTCGCCGTTCATCCCATGGTCAGCACGTAAGCTATCACATTGCTCTCCATGGATTAATAAGGAAAACCGGAAGCTGTTAAAGCGTAGGAAACATTTCTGGGACTTATTCTTGTTGACAGGTCATGCACCATTTAAGCGTGAGTACCAAAAATTCCGCAATATCTGTAAGGAAACAGTAGCCAAATCTCGTACCACTTACGAACGATAGTTAGTATATGATAGACGTACTTGTCCGAAATGATTGTTTTCGTATGTTAAACGGCGAATGAAACGTAGTGATGGTATTCCCCTGTTACTATTACACGAAAATTCAAATTTACTAGCTGAATCAGATTAGGCAAAAGCTGAGACTTTTTCAAACTATTTTAGCGAAGTCTACGTTTATTGCAAAAAATACTTGTCCCACTCACACCCAGATACCGACCATTGAATTCTTACAGGTGACTGAGGAAACTGTCCTTCCGTTCTTAACTAACATCAAACCTGGTAAGATACCGGGCCCTGACGGGTAACATCCACGGTTGCTGTCATCTCTTGCAGACATTATTTTCAAACCGCTCGCGACACTCTTCAACATGTCCCTTTCTCTCGCTCAACTCCCTTTGGAAGAGAAGATTTAGGTCTAATTTGATTCTCTACTTTAAACTACTCAAAAACCTTACTTATTCAACATATAAGATAGTTCTTGCTAGAGATTCACATGAATACGAACTTTGAAACAAAGTGTCTACGGTTAAGGTTGAGAAAAACAGATCAAAAACTCGGGAAAACTTCTTCCTCACCAAGTATGCCATAATATGGAACAGCCTTCCCTCCGAAATACGCATGACAGATGAATTACATATGTTTGTAAAACTGCTTGATCAACCCCTCACTTGCACGTACGAACACATCTGTGCCTTACTCAGACATCATAGGTTCTCTCCATGTCTAGACCAAAATGGACTTCAAGTTCAGTTTGCCTTATTTTTCCTACTTTGCAGTTGTACTAGTTACTTTTTCCACCCTAATTATTCACTTGAAGTAGACAGGTAACTCACCGAACCTATCGATACTGCTCAACTAAACTCGGTCGCTAAGGGACACTCACTACCACTCTCAGAAAGTCAAGAGGACCGCACAATCGATTGTCCACTACCAGTGGTCTTGCATCTATGGAGCCTGTTACCAATCAACTGGTTAGGACAACACAAAATAACATCAGCACCGAGCTACTGTAAGTTTCCACCTATTTATCCTGTATTAACTTTTTAATCTTCTGCACACTATGTTGACTAGCAATTAATATTATTTCTCCACTCGTTACCTTATCTACAACTCATATACTCCTATGCGTTTCCGCCTGCTTTAATAAACAACCATCCTACATTATACCCTTCCTAATGCTTATACTCTGATTGGCAAACTATACTTTATACTACAGTCAACAAAAGCATTGCATCGATGCCTTACAGTCCATAGCTTGTAACTGCCTGATAAGCTTGTAAAATGGTACTTATAGAAATAGTGTTTTCCAACATGTTGTGAAACACAGAGCATTGTGTAGGGTATGCACATATTCAAAAAATAAGCTTAAATGAGCCTAACATCACGAAAGGAGGGAGGGTGGAGTTACTGACCAGCAAGCATTGATGGTGAGAGTGACAACTTCATTCCACCCGTGTTTGTGGGGGCAGAACATTTTTTATGTATCAGGCTCTTTATGATTGAGAATAAGTCAATCAATCTGTGATATAGATAGTTTTCCTACACTCAACACTCAGACTCACGTTTCCAATATTATGCTGGATTAGCTATTCTACAAAGACAACCTATAACATGCTAACTCGGACTTTGACACTAGGATTGTGTGGCTGGCATCGGATAAACAAAAAAGGAAAAAAAGTTAGACAACAAAAGATATAGTCATTAGTATTCTTAACACTTCACCCTCTATATACACACCCTTCTAATAAACCTCTTCCCTTGTACCAGCCTTGACTTACTTTCCTTCATGTGAGCTTACTACAACTCGTTAAACGACACAACTAATTGTTTTTTATTACTACACTCTCTAATATGGAGCCTCTGACTTCATTTCACTCTAACAAGATATAATATGAATTTATTCTAATTTATTGTACCTCTGTCCGTTCTACTACACAATGTTAAGCAACGATTGGCGTTCACATTCAAGTGCCTTTCTGCTCTTCTGTTTCTCTTTTTTTCTTCTTCAGAAATTTGCTCTGAGGACACAGCTATGAAACTTCTGACGTCTAGAACAAACTTGACGTACGTGTCTCCCCAAGGTCACAGTTTACAGCAAGCGCCCTACGATTTCACTTTATAACAACTATAAACTTAATAAGTTGGGAAGCATTTCGCGAACCAACAAATGTTGTAATTTATAGATCATGCCTGTAAAAATGGCGTGTGCCTGCACATGCAGAAATATATATACTATCATTATTATTATAAAGACTTAGGCGTAGTAAGAAGTCATGATTTTAAAAACAACTACGCATTGCAAAGCAGCCGCTGTCAAAAGTTTTCGTGCGTTATGGTCACTTCGCCGAGCGTTCAAATCTTTTGACGAGGAAACGTTTCGAATTTTATATCCCATATATATCAGACCACATTTAGAGTACTGTATCCAAGCAGCTAGCCCGTGTCTGGTAAAGGATACTAACTCCCTTGAGCATGTCCAGCCTGTGGTAACGAAATTAGTGAAGAGTCTCTCTAGACTCCCTTACGATGAGCGTTTAAAACGCCTGAAACTTTTCCCCTTGTCGTATCGTAGGACACGAAGTGACCTTATGCTGGCATTTCGTATCTTTAATTATGATTTGAGTGTTAACACGTCTTAACTTTTTGCTCCCTCCAACACTAATGTTTTACGAGGTCATAACAAGAAGGTTCTTAAACCACGATCTAATAAACTTGAAGTGGGGTCCCGTTTTTCCCATCGAGTAGTCAATGATTGGAATGCCTTACCCGAACAAGTGGTATCAGCCCCATCAGTGAATATTTTCAAGGAGATGCTGGATCTTCACTGGAAAGCAACGTGTCAGGATTAACACAGGTTCACCAACCTACTATCCTAATTACTGAAGACCGAAAACTCTAAATGACGTATCAATGTTTTTTGTCTGGCGTTCACCTAAAGAACATCACTATGTTGAACTTTTTAATTGTCGACCTATGACTCGCAGTACTTCAGTTTGTATGTTTATTCCTGTTATAACTCTTATCATTTCCTGTTAATTTTAGCGATAGTAATACTGAGTTAAACGCTTTTGGCAGTATTTCGATCTATACTTCTCGTTAGATATAACTATCACAATTTCCTTAGCATGGGATTAGTTTGGAAATACTTTCAAAGTTTCCTGGTGTATTAGAAAAGCACAGTTCATAGTCATATGCACATGATATTCATGTACAAAGTAAGCGTTCCATTTTCCTTTGATTTATCCTGGTAATCGTGACGCTTAGCTCCCGACTACAAAACAACATATTTCTATTTGGATTTATTTGGATGAATACGTACAAAATGATGTTACCCATATTTGTTGACTATGAGTTTAAACAAATCCAACAACTTATAATCACTTCATTTCAAATAAATTGATTCCAGCCCTATTCTAAATTTGGTATTGCACTTAACATGTATCCAACAATAACCGGTAAATCTGAATATAATTAGTTGAACTATCGCATGTCAGAACATTGAGTCCAGAACTTGCCTCTCACAGATACACTCATAATCAACAAATGGTTATGAGCTGTTTTACAAAAAGTCAGACAAATATCAGTATTTTTACGCTTTAGAAGTACTTTTGTTAACCATTTATGTGCATCGATAGTATCAGTGAATACTATCACGGCTAAGCAATAACAAGGCTGAGAAAATCTACCCGTAACTATATAAAACCTATTACAACTCAACAAACTAAATGGAACACTAATTGGAATCCTTTTTATTCGCGGTTATACTTATGTTCCTTTAGCTAGCCTGCAAGTGCAGATTGAACGTAAAATCAACACATGAGGATAGGATACGGGCGAAATGAGTGAATGACTTTCTAGTTTAAATCAAAGATAATACTAACACCAATATATAAAATGCCGATTTCTTTCTATTTCTAAGCACAAAGTACTAGCACTGCAGGCCACCGTGGAGATGCCACAACATTCGGAGTTCGACAACGCTTTAACCAGTAACACCTTCCACTATGAATCGTACCCACCAAGTGAAATCAAAAGATAGAAGCGAGGACGTTCGAAGATATATTTGATAGGCTATCAGTATATCGAGAATCGTCTGATCTAATCTGGCTAGCGATTGCAGTAGATGTTGAGCACGGCGTTCGCACTCGTGATCTGGTGCGGATGCATGACCGAGCGCCTTC